CAGGCCCCACTGCTCCTCACTGGGTCCCCATGTCTGTGGGTGAAGCGGGTGAGATGGCAACGCTGCCAGGTCGGCAGCCCCACGGGGTGGGGGGGCTGCTGGGGCAGGGGGCAAGGGAACATCCCTGACCTGTGGCTGCCTGCTGTCTTTCAGGAGAGGAAGCTCTGTGCCCACCCCCGGATCGAGATCTACAAGGAGGACCGCATCTACTTCGTGTGTCCCCTCGCACGCCAAGGGGACTTCTACGTGCCTGAAATGAAAGAACTGGAGAGGAAGAGCAGGGCTGCTGCGGTTGAGGGCGAGGATGCCCAGACAGACATCACAGGTATCCAGGGCTTGCACATGGGCTCCATCTTCGAGCGGCATCAGTCCTCTCAAAGGTGGGGGTCCTGGTGTCCCCGGTGCTGCCAGCAGAGAGGGGCCGACACATGCCCGCCTGGCCCCCAGCCACTGAGTCTCAGCACACCGCTTCCCCTCACCCCAGGCTGAGATAGGGTCTCATCCCTAAGGTGTCACACGTTGTGCCTCGGGGAGCACCCAGCACCCCTGCGGCGTTGGGGTGAGGGCCAAGCTGCCGCCGAGCCACCAACCCACTGTTGTCAGAGCAGAGCTGGGTCTTGCAGCTTTTGGTTGCAGCTGGGCTTGTTTTTCTCCTTGTCATATACATCTTCCTTGATCTCATCTTCATCTGTTACATATTGGGTTTGTGAAGAGCTTAAATACCAGGTTGCTGTAGCTGGTGGTGGAGTTGCCCGATAGCATCTGCTCAGCGAGATCTGTTGGAGCCTGGATGTATTCATACAGGAAGGGACCACAATGGCTGTAGGCGCAGAACAGCAGTGCTATAGTAACCCAAAATGCTAGTTGCCGTCGCCGGCCCACGTGCTCACATGTCTGCGAGATGCAGGAGCCGGCTAGCCGAGCGTTCCTGGCGCTGGACGGGGCGCCCGGCCCCCCCTGCCCCGCTGGTCGCCCAGGCTTGTGTAACGGGCGTGAAAAAACCAGGACGGCTCTCCTCGCCTCCCGGGGAGTTTGGTCATTTGTTTTAACACATCTTCGGGTTTGGACTGCTTTAATTCTTAATCGCGTGCAGCGTAAAAACAAGCCTGGGAATTGCTGTCTGGGAGCTCTGTCCATTTAGTGCTGCAACAGAAAGTCTAATTGGAGTGGTTTCCCAGCGCTTCGAGGCCCTGTGTTTTCACGGCACTCGCTCGGCTCTTTGTGTTTTGGTCTGCCTCCCGTCCGGGCGGCTGCTTTGGGCCCCGGCCCGGGCTGGCCCAACGCGCCCCGGCGATCGCC